CAGAGGAGGCCTTTGGTGGATGGGAAGACGAGTTGCGAGCGAGCGTATTTTCACAGCTACAAGATAGCTTTGCCAACGACCAGGTTTCCGATGACATTCATGAGTGCGTTACATCGTTGGGCAAGCTACAAACGATTTTTGTACAACGTCGAGCCATAATCAGCGTTGACAACTGGCAGGAGGCCGAGGAAGGCCTACAGGATGATGGGGGCCACAAAGTTTTTTTTTTTTTTTTTTTAAACAAATCCCGTGGCGTCAGGTAGGAGTGATGATACGAGCATGTAGGAGTGATGATACGAGCATGCACTCCTACCAGACTTAGCGGGGCTCCATTCTATTGGTGGGGAGCTGCACCTGCTGGAAACCGGGTCCAGCGTCCCATGAGAAACAATGAAGGACCGAGGTACAACACAAACTGGGAACCGGGCCCAGCATCCCTTCTGATCAGTGCCAGTGGGAAATCTACAACTGACTGTTGAGTCTTGTGCCTCTTCACCCTGAGAGGGTGCTAGATATACGTATCTTCCTAGCACTTAATCACACTTGTCTTGAGAAAGGTCGACCCCAACATTCATTGACAATGCAAGGGATTTTCCAGATCATTCGTACACATACCACAACCTGGGAACTAAGCAAAGGTTCGAGAGTGGGAAGGCATCAGGGAAACCGCCAGAGGTCTTAAAGGTATAGTACGATCAACATTGCTCCACTCATTAAAGGCCAGGCTGTAGTTCCTTGGGATCTCTTTTTGGGCGTTCTCTTTTGTTCCTTCCCACTTCACCTATCCCAATCTCCCTCCCTAGTCCCCTCCAAGCCAGTTCTGATTAAATGTTTTAATATGATGCAATATTTCTTTTTCTAGTGACAAAAATTGTAATTTTTCCTTAAGGGACTCCCCATTTGATAATGATCTCTGTTTGGATCTGTTGTCTGATAGTATCAATGAATTCAGGGCCATCTAGGCGAGCACCTTTCATTTCATGAGTACACCATCTTAACCAGATCGCCCACATGACCGCTCGCCTTCCGATTATGAATAGGTTTAGAGTGAAAGCATTTTCTTGGTTCGGATTCCAGGATTCCAGGAGGAGGGTCTTCCAATTCCAGAGCCAAGGGAGGGATGTTCCTAACTGGCTCCAAATCCTATCCCACTACCGCCATAGCCAAATTGGGCCTGGGCATTGCAAGAAAATGTGTTCTAAAGTTTCCGGTATGAGTTTGGATGGGAAGGCTGATTTGCAGAACTTCCACCACGGAAGGGCTATTCCTTTTCGTTCCAACGATGTTTTATCGATGATCAAGTCGTTTGTAGGGAGACAGCGATGGGCAATTTGCCATTGCAGCGACGCTACTTTAGCTGGTCTGGATTTAATAGAGTGGAATCACTTAATAGAGTGCAATTCTTCTTTACTTACGTTTAGATGCCTCATCCAACGATCTTCTATTTTGTCTCTTAGGTTTATCTTAGGACGAAGCATCCTATAGGTAGGCTTCACTGACAGGGTGTGAAGTGTCCTTACGTAAGAGCACCCTGTACCATTTGAGGTGGACCAGATCCAGTAGACCGGATCTAAAAGGAGATGAGAGATGGGTATGTCTGGTTTAAAAGCAAGCCAACTTTCCTTAATCATAAGGACTCTGATCCTGAAAACTCTATTTGCTTTGACCCACCCCGTGTGCTCTTGTGATCTCGCCTTGAGGAAACCATCCTCCCCTAGATCAAAGATAGATATAAGAATATCCCTTGTGTTGCGGACTTCAATTACATTTCCCACTATCCCTTGTTGATCGATGATGGATACCCGGTCATTCGAGATAAGCTTCGATCCATTTATCAGGATTCTGACCCAGTCTAGAAGAATTATATCAATTGATTGTTCTAAAGTTTCCTTTTTATGATGGCAATATCTTAATTTCTCCTCGAGGGTCGGCACATCAACCCAGTCTCCGTTCTCAACGTTCCAGACGTCTCTAATGCGTGTGACTCCTTTCTTAATCCATTTTTTCCATGGTGAGTCCGAACAGTTGAGGGTGCACCCTTGAGAATCCCTGATAAATGTATTGTTAAACAATGGTTGTTGGCAAACCTCTTCCCATCTCTCAGAAGCTATCTTGTCTGGGAGAGGCAATTTCCTCTACTTTTTAATCAAGTTGATCCAAAATGGGTCCCTGGCAATATCTCTCATGGCTGCTTGTCGGTCGAACAGTTCCAGGTGATGGGGTTCTAATGTGGTGCTCCTCGAAAGCGACCAGGAGCGGTTTTCCAACCACATGAGTGTATCCACCCCCTCTGAAGTGGGTGGAGCTAGTCTTTTCATTTGCTCACCTGCCAGCTTACTCCAAGGGGTCCTGGGATTGAATAAGAGGCATTTTAATCATTGAATGGACAGGGCCATAGCCTAGGTAGCGGGGTCTATGATGCCTAGGTCACCTTTGGCTTTGGGCTAGATTATAGAAAGTCATGTAAGTGATGTCACACTACTAATGACATTTTCATATTCGTGATTTCGTCGCCAGAGGAAGACAACGAATTGCCGTTGAAAAACCTTAATGGTTGCTTTGTCCAAGGGCCAGATCGCTGATTTATACCAGATTGAGGTCAATACTACATTGTTAATGACTAACGTCCTGCCTAGTAACGAGGTATGTTTGTCTCTTTATAACTTCAATTTTGAATGTGCTTGTGTAAAATCCCATCATTGTTAGATAAGGGTTTGCCAAGTGCAGAGAGAGAGATCCCTAGGACTCTGATAAGTGTTCCAGGAGGAAGCCATTTGATCAGTGGTCGTTCTGGAGGCCTTACTCCTTGATAATGAATCCACCATCCCAGCGTTTTATTTCTCCAATTTACCTTCATATATGAGAGTTTGCAAACTTCATTGATAATTCTTTTAATTGCTTCTAAATTCCCTTGAGACGCATCAACCATCAGAGAGAGGTCATCAACAAACAAGGAACAAACAGGGATTGCTTCCTCTGGGATGGATGAGATCATGACACTTGGATACGCTTAATATCTTTGCACTGTCAGAGGTTAGCAGTCAGGGTTTCCATGATTATTATGAAAAGGAGTGGTGCAATTGGGTCACCTTACCTCACTGATTTTTGTAGAGCTATAGGGGGAGCCACATTCCCATTAACCATCATTTTTATTGTTGCATTATTATGCAATATTTTAATCCATCGTTTAAAGTTTGGACCAAAATTGAGTTTCTCTAGGCATTTATCCAAAAAAAAAACAGTTGACACGATCATATGTTTTTTCGAAATCTATAAATATAATGACCGCGTTGTGTTTAGATTGGCGAGCGAGTTTGACTAACTCATTTATCAGTAGAATATTGTCTTTGATATTCCTTCCTTATATAAAACCTGTTTGGGAGAGGTGGATTATGTCGGCTATGCATTTATTTAAGCGATTCGTTAGGACTTTTGAGACGAGTTTGTATACGAGAGTAAGGAGTGTGATGGGCCGATAATTACGAATATTGCATTTATTGTCCTTTATATAGAGCAGTGTCAGTATGCCTTGCCCCACAAACTCTCCTATTTGTCCAGTCACCCAAACAGCCTGATAAAAGTCCATTAAGTCCTAAGAGATGAAGTCCCAAAGATATTCTCAAAACTCCTTAGGCAGTCCATCAATGCGTGAGTTTTTTTCCTCCCCCATGAGCATTAGGGCAGTCCATTCTTCTTCTTTTGTTAGGGGCAACTCCAATTGATGTTTGTGGGAGGCAGAGATGGATTTTGACATAGGTTTCATAAATTCATCTATCTCAATATTACTTTGGTTCAGGGGGATGTTACCAGTTTCCTATGTGTCCGATAAACGGAGAACAGGCTAAATTCAACATCGTTCAACCCGTTTAACGGGCCCGGGGACCCCCGTTGAATCCCGTTTAACGCAAAAACGGGGGTCTCCCATTGAATTCCGAAAAAGGGATTGGGCACGTTGGGCCTCGGACACATGGCCCTATGCGCCCAAACACTCAAACCGGAAAGAAAAAAAAAAAAATCACACCCCCCTATGGCCCC